GTGTTTTGCGTTTTATTGTCCAATATTTAATTGTTTTCGTTAAATGATTAAATTTAAATCAATTTTTATTCTATATAAATAAATGAGGATGTTTGTTCGCTATACACTGGTAGGCTGATGGACTAATTGCTACGAAACTCGGCATATACGTTCAAATACTTTTAACTTAGAACGTGTCGTACAGTACATCCCATCTCAAATTATCGATCGGCCTTCTATATATCGATTAATTTTTGTCTATATTTGATTACTGGTTTTACATGTAGCGCCATCTATACATACATATATATATATACACACTGTATATTTTATATAATGTACTGAACGTACGATGCCCTTTTTTAATAACTTGTGTCCCCCTCTTTATAGTCCGCAGGCGCTGCTGGTGAGTAGCCAGCAGTGTTCTCCTCTCCTAAAAAAATTACAACCTCCCAAATTTAAAGTTTTATGTATTAAAAGGGTGAAAATAATATTGGAGACAGTTTCAATTAAGGAAGGACAAAGACGGACGGACGACAGTGAGGATTTATAGATGTACAATTTTTTTCAAATTGCAGCCCAATCGGTTACTGGTGGTTTTATCCACTCGATTACTGGAGGGTACTTATCCTCCAGTAACCGAGTGGATAAAACCACCGAATACCGGTAGTCGGTCGTGGGTTCGCCCACGGCCATCAGACTGGCCACATGGCGTTTTCGTTGGTTTTTTTCGCGTTAGTAACACTTAAATTGGGTCCAGAACGACTTACATAAAAGTCGTTCCAAGTGATGCATTCTCCTTGCAGATCGCTCGCGTGTCGCGTTGCCGTAACCAAATAAACTAAATGAATTCTAATAATTTTTCTATAAACGCGATATTTACGAAGACACGTTTAACTAATAGGAAACCTGGACATCCCTCCCCTCCCCTGATTTCATCTCCCCTCGGTAACTCATAAAGCCCAAACTTCTTTTCTTTCACTGATAATGTTTAGGATGTTCTAACGTTCAGTAAAATTAATGTACGGTACACGCAACGATTTCAAGACACAAACTACAGCTCGAAATCTTTTTCTGTGCCATGTTTATTTTTCTTATTATGGTGACATTGCTTCATTCAAATTTCCTGTAGTTATAGTCTGTGTAATGTGCAATTTATTCACGTGTTGACTCTTACTGTCAAATCTGCTTCCAGTATGTTTATGCCACAACTTTCAAAACTTTCCTTTACTTTGATGTTTTGCTGAACTTTACTTTTTCAACCTGGTTTCACCAGTTCTTTTACGGGCACATAAAAGCAATTATTTTTGCATTTCTAAAATATATTTTTTTTATATAAACAAGTCTTTCGGACGTTAAGGTTAGCAACGTGCGGGGCCATCACAACCTATCCAACACGGATCACTTTTCATATATTAATAGTAGACCAGTATTAAGTAGTAGTCGTTGACTAACCTCTCTCCCAGAAGGAGGAAAACTATTACTTTTGGTCGAATTAACTTCAATTTCCATCCGCAACAGTACCTTCTTCCTATCGGACCCACCGATGGTGGCATTCGAATAGGAACATTACGTAATAGAAAGTTACCGGCCAGAACAAAATATGTTTTAAGTGGTTTTCGAGGGTGCCGAGTTTAAATATTTGGTCCGTTTTTCGCCAAATTTGATTGGTTGACAGATTACCATTTGATATTCGGCTGCGAATGAAACACTTAATTATAGCTAACATTAGAAAAAAGTACGATATCTGAAATTTTTTAAGATTCCGTATTCTCATTTGGTGTCTACTTGACCAATGAAATTGTGCCAATAAACGTGACAATGGTAGGCTGAAATAACCAAACTCTTTATATGGTTTTCGTTTTAATATTTGTTATATTATAGTATTTGATTTATATAACTACAAAGGTTATCTTACGTAAGAGTTTATCAAACCGACTGACCAATCTAACATATTTTAAAAATTTACTTCCTTTACTGTACACAAATTAAAGAATTTTTAAAATATGTTAGATTGGTCAGTCGGTTTGATAAACTCTTACGTAAGATAACCTTTGTAGTTATATAAATCAAATACTATAATATAACAAATATTAAAACGAAAACCATATAAAGAGTTTGGTTATTTCAGCCTACCATTGTCACGTTTATTGGCACAATTTCATTGGTCAAGTAGACACCAAATGAGAATACGGAATCTTAAAAAATTTCAGATATCGTACTTTTTTCTAATGTTAGCTATAATTAAGTGTTTCATTCGCAGCCGAATATCAAATGGTAATCTGTCAACCAATCAAATTTGGCGAAAAACGGACCAAATATTTAAACTCGGCACCCTCGAAAACCACTTAAAACATATTTTGTTCTGGCCGGTAACTTTCTATTACGTAATGTTCCTATTCGAATGCCACCATCGGTGGGTCCGATAGGAAGAAGGTACTGTTGCGGATGGAAATTGAAGTTAATTCGACCAAAAGTAATAGTTTTCCTCCTTCTGGGAGAGAGGTTAGTCAACGACTACTACTTAATACTGGTCTACTATTAATATATGAAAAGTGATCCGTGTTGGATAGGTTGTGATGGCCCCGCACGTTGCTAACCTTAACGTCCGAAAGACTTGTTTATATAAAAAAAATATATTTTAGAAATGCAAAAATAATTGCTTTTATGTGCCCGTAAAAGAACTGGTGAAACCAGGTTGAAAAAGTAAAGTTCAGCAAAACATCAAAGTAAAGGAAAGTTTTGAAAGTTGTGGCATAAACATACTGGAAGCAGATTTGACAGTAAGAGTCAACACGTGAATAAATTGCACATTACACAGACTATAACTACAGGAAATTTGAATGAAGCAATGTCACCATAATAAGAAAAATAAACATGGCACAGAAAAAGATTTCGAGCTGTAGTTTGTGTCTTGAAATCGTTGCGTGTACCGTACATTAATTTTACTGAACGTTAGAACATCCTAAACATTATCAGTGAAAGAAAAGAAGTTTGGGCTTTATGAGTTACCGAGGGGAGATGAAATCAGGGGAGGGGAGGGATGTCCAGGTTTCCTATTAGTTAAACGTGTCTTCGTAAATATCGCGTTTATAGAAAAATTATTAGAATTCATTTAGTTTATTTGGTTACGGCAACGCGACACGCGAGCGATCTGCNACAATAGATATTTGAATTTGGTAAACAATTTAAAAAACGAACATTTAATCACGTTTTTATATTTAAAATAAAAAAGTCGAGCGGAAATTTTTCCTGTAATTTTGCTTCCCATTTTCGATATATGATCTCTTATTTTTGCTCACCTCGAGTTTTGCTTAGTAGAAATGGGTAAAGAGTGCGCAAAATAAGTTACGGAAATACGTTATTACAGGACCACCTGTATTAGACGACCACCTGTCTAAAAGACCATTTTTTGAAGGAACCATGGGTGGTCGCCATAGACAGGTTTTACTGTATATATATATATATATACTGTATAGATGGCGCTACATGTAAAACCAGTAATCAAATATACACAAAAATTAATCGATATATAGAAGTCCGATCGATAATTTGAGATGGGATGTACGACACGATCTAAGTTAAAAGTATTTGAACGTATATGCCGAGTTTCGTAGCAATTAGTCCATCAGCCTACCAGTGTATAGCGAACAAACATCCTCATTTAATTATATAGAATAAAAATTGATTTCAATTTAATCATTTAACGAAAACAATTATTGGACAATAAAACGCAAAACACGACGATTTATTGAATAATCGGTCTGAAAAATAGTTTCTTTCACTCCGACTACTACCAGAACAGTTAATTTCCTACCGACAGATGACTAAACTCGAGCGTATAGTAATATTAAAAAATATGAATTTTGGGAAAAGAACAGTCATCTTAGACCGATGCATACAGTCCTGCCCCGAGAAATTAAACCAGCTGGAGCAATCCTATTAATTACATTTTGCAATTTTCTCTTTCTCTTTTCCTCTGTTGCAGAGAGCTTCCGATCTCGATTTTATTTTTTTTTTTTTTGTTTTCCCGTTGGCTCTTTTAAGACAAAATTATATTACAGAAGCAATAGTAAACAGTCGTAAATAATTCGAAACCAATAGAAAGACGTTGAAAAAATTAATTAGCCAAATGACTGAAAAAAATTGTTATCCAAAGAAAAACATTTGAGATGTAAAAAATATTGCACCGAGTAAAAATGATAACACCCGAACGAAAGTTAAATTGAATGCTTGTAAATAGGTCCGAAGATTGCAACGGTACACACAAACGCAGAATTTTGCTATGATAGAAAACTTTTAGATGAAACCAAAACAGAAGGCAAGAAATAAAGAATTTTTAACTGAAGCTATAATTTTATTCTGATATCATCTAACATTATAGGATTAACTTGAAATATACCCAGGAGATTAGTAATTAAATGTAAAGTCTTCCCAATAAATATTGTCTTTGTCTTCAAACACATATAATGTTCTGGATTTTTAAGGAATTAAAAGCTATTGGCACTATCACCGACTTAAATAGCTTCTTGTAGTTTACAAGAAAAACAAAATTACTTGTTAGCTCTGCAGCTTCTTTCAGTCCTTTCACTTACAACAAGCGGAAAATGCAGACATTTTAATTCTGTTCAAAGTTTTGAATTCCTTACAAAATCGTGTATTTATTATGTTTTGTACTTTGCAAAATGGGTTCTAGTTACAGTATAACAATACGTGTTTACGCGAGGTGTTACGGGACCTTTGCACTAAGCGGTAAATAAATTAAACTAAACACGAAAATATACAATAAAAATAACAATAGATATTTGAATTTGGTAAACAATTTAAAAAAACGAACATTTAATCACGTTTTTATATTTAAAATAAAAAAGTCGAGCGGAAATTTTTCCTGTAATTTTGCTTCCCATTTTCGATATATGAAAGCAAGGTCGATTTTATTTAGTGTTATTAGACTACTTTAAAAGTATCTAAAGTGATTCAGCTTAGAATAAGTTATACGTACTTGAATCGTCGGATAGAAAGGATGTGAACTCCTTTATGTAAAGGAATTAATCACTAGTTAACCCGACATTTATCTTAAGATTTGTTAATTAAGTGTACGTTTAAATGGTAATTTTTTAATGTAAATAATTAGTAAAGTGTATCATGGATAACAGTTCTAAATTAGAAAATGATGAAGAGTGGATGAGGTGAGAATTTTTGTTTTAGTTTTTGTGAAAATTTTAATCCTTAGCCATATTAATTATAGTTAATTAAAGTGTATAAAAACTACTATAAAATCGATGTTAATCTACTTATTTAGAGCATTTAAACTCGCGTATTTTAGTCAATTTTAATTAACATTTATAATGTTCGCGTTACAGTTCAAAGCGAAATTTAATTATGGAATTATAAATTGTAAAATTCAATAACGAAATAAAGATTATATAAATAATTTTAATTACTTAATTGTGTTTTTAAAAGTAATTTAATTAAGTAACCGAACAGAACTTCATTTGAATTTCGTTCGTACTCGTCGTTCAAAAATCAATAGAAAACATTAATGAATTTAAAATATATTAAGTGAAATTAGAGTGGTTTATAATTAATTTATTTACGTAAAATATATAAAATTATGTATTTAACTTTAATTTTAATTATAATTCATTGGAATAATGTTTATGTTAACCATAATTAGAAGAGAATTTTAAACTAGTATTTACTAGAAAACACAAGATATATTTAATTAATAATACGAATTATTTATTTTAAAAAATCAGTTTAAAAGTTTAATAAATTAAAATCTATTAAATTAATAGAGTAATCAATCATTTAGCTTTAATAAACAGCAGTTTATCCGTCAGATATAATTTAATATTCGCTCCTTTAATCTTACCGACTATTAATATGTTGTTTTAAACGCCGCACGAATCCCAAAATTTATTTTGGTTATTTAAAATGTTAATAAAATTTAAATTTATTGAGCCAAAACGTGTCAATGTTCGTAAGTTTTCTTTTAAATTTTTGAAATTTTCTGAAGAGGGATGTCGGCCATTAATGAAACTGGGTTAAGGATATTACGTATGCCTATACAGTATACCCCTCGCTTTACGACTATCTTGTGTTACGTCTGATTATAAATTTTCTGTTACGATACATTCTTTATCATCTTAATCTCGAACTTAATCGAATATAAAGCATATTTCCCCTATATTCGATTACCCTACGCTTTCTGTAATCACACGGGGCGTAAAAGAGGGAATATACTGCGCGTTGTATATAAAGCTATTGAAACTATTTAAACATAGTTATACAGTTAGTACAAGTGGTAGAAACAATTTATTACATTAAGCCTACGAGAAATGCAAAGGTTCGCTTTACGTCGGTTTTCCAAGAATCGTAAAAGTTGAGTGTATCTTATACTGAATACGATATAATCGAAATGTTTAAATAAATTAAATAAGTGAATAATAATAATAATAATGAGATAATTAATTAATTTATTTTACACAGAAAATGTTCGATTTGGAGTAAAAGAACGCTTTTGGAACGTTATTTAATTCTTGTTTGTATTTTAATAACCTTCGCATTCTTCACAATGATTGGATTAGTGTTGTATTTAGAAAGTAAGTTCACGAATCATTTTTATGTCATTTATTTTTATTAATTTATAAAACGTTTTATTAAGTTATTCTAATTTTTAAATGTCCATTAATTAACTGTAATGAAAATATAATTATATTAATGAATGGCCATTTTAAATAGATAAACAAAATATACAAATTTCAACTAATATTTGTACTTCTACAGTTTGCAAACAAGAAGGTAAGTAATGGTATAATTAATTAAAATTTTATTGAATTTAAAGAGAAACGTTGGACAGTAATTCTAATTATGGTTTTAATTGTGTTCATTAATTAAAGTTATTTCTACTCGACCCTGCTTTAAGATGGGTATAAATTTTCTCTTATGACTATCCGACTACTCTTATAATTCCCCTATAAAACTGAATAAGTTTTAACGTAAATAAAACTCCACATCGGTTTCCACCTCAATATCCTTTATGTGGCCACAGATCAATAACACCACGCATTTCTAAATTCTGCGTATTGTTTAAAGCGTTTTAAATGAATTGAGCTTTGTTATTATGGTTTTGGAATAGTTCACCAAGAACCTTTGGACAGATGATGATCAAATAAAATGAATTTTTATTTACACCGAACAAATTACATTTCCAGAATTTAGTGAGAAGAAATTTTTATATATTTATAACTATATAGAGGACAGGATTCAAGATTTTAATATTTAACTCTCAGTGTCAAGGAGTAAGTATAGGCCTACTTAATATTCGGCGTAAGTTGAACAAGAAAAAGAATACCGCTGGATATAGGTATTTATAAAAAAATTCAGCAACTAGTTGCGTAACTTTCCCGGCTGCTACGAAATTTTATTTAAAAAATAACTGTTACATATTATTAATAAATAAATTGGGTGTGGCGTCATCTGTTATGAGATTTTATCATAAAAACGTTTTATATTATTAATTATTATAAAACGGCAAAGGCTTAATTTGAGAGTAATGATTAGATTGGTAAAACAATTGTAAATGCTAATACGTATAACATCATTATTAAATCCTACCCCTCGACACGCGAACCCCTCTATCTTCCCATCCTCTTGACCTTTCATCACCAAAATTTAATAGCATTAATTCTCCTTACAAGTTACCGTGGCAAATTTGGTGGGCTACATTTCGAGGAATTATGCTTTACTTATAAAACCTGTTTGGCAACCTGTGAGGTTTTCTTTGGACACACGCTATTTACCCGCAGTGTATTATTATTATTAATTAACGAAAATAAGGTTCTGGGTTCTGTATAAGTAGCCGTATTCCGTTTGCTTAATAAATTATATCAGTTACACGACATTTGGCACGTTATACAGAAATATATAGGCTAAATCTCGGATAATTCGAATTTCGAACTAACGAGGATTTCCTGTATTTGAGTTACTTTTAATTAATATTGAATTTTATCTAAATTCAAAAGAATTAAATTTGCCAAGATTTTTGAAAATAAATAGTTAAAATTTGAATCTTTTAAAATTTTAACTATTTATTAACGTATTTTTAAAATATTTTATGAACTTTCAATGAACGAAGATGAAAAAAATAATAATTAAAACTTTAATTGAAAAAACGAATGACATTACAATTGTTCATAAGATAGTAGCCTAATTCCCGCTTTTTCGACCTAATTGGTTCTCGGAAAACTGTCGTTAATAGAACAGCCGTAAATCAACCCGTAAGTTAAGTGTGTAGATTCATTCTCGGACCCAAATGCAAAGAGAGAAGTACTTAAATTGCTTTTTATACAATCATAATATAAAATTTATACTAGTGGTAAAAGCGACATTTGTAAGTAAAAAGACCTCGAAGTAAAGATTTACTGTAAATTTGAGTCTCGTTTAGAATAGTAAAAACGTAAAATAATTCGAAACTATTTATTACCTTTGTTCTTTTATTTAGTTTAGCAGTAGTATTAAACAGTTAAGATTATAAATCAATGGTCCGAAACGATGTGCCACGCGGATAACTAGCTTATCACGCAATTTTCAGAGCACTGTTACGAAATATCAAAAAATTCATTTAAAAATTTCTTTGTTTCTTTTAGCACATGCTGAAGAAACAAAGACACGGTTTCAAATTTGTTAAATCATTTTAAAATGTTAATTATCTGTTTATTTTTAATATTATTTCTTGCTCTTCGAGGGCATCTTTAATGCTGCGCTGGCTCGTTGTTATGCCTCAAAAAATTGCGAATGCGCTAGGTCGAGTACCACCAGCGTGCCAATAAGTACGATTTTGATTTAATCCTTCCGGCGAAGATATTATTAGTGTATAAGCCAGATATGGCAGTATGATTTTTGTTTCAGAGTTATTACTATAATGTAAACCACGAGTGTTATTTCTATTTCTTTCTTACGTGGAAAAGACCAAGGGTATACTTTTGGCTCGCACTATAATAAAATAATCGCTTTCTACGCTTGGAATACTTATAACCATACTTACGTTAGACACAATGTTAAGTGGTCATCCCACGTTTCGAACGTTAACGACCGTACTTACGGCTTATACGTTACGTCCTTTGAATATGAACAATCGACTCTATCTCATTTTCTTTTATTAAATATAAAAGGTAAGGCTTAAAATTTTAATTTTAAACGATAACTTGTTAAATTTTTGCAAGAAAATAATTGTTTTGATAGCTGCAAGAATAATGAGCAACATGGACGTCAGCGTCGATCCCTGTAACGATTTTTACCAATTTTCTTGTGGTTCTTTCATAAAGTATCAAAATGTTCCAGATAACAAGGAAGGGAGAAGTTTTCTGGGCGATTTAAACGAATATACAATAAAATTAGCCAGAGGTAACGAAATTAAATAGGCTTTTTACGATTCGCTTTTATACAAATAGTAAATATTTATCTCTTTCAGATTTATTGCAGGAACCAGTTAACGATTATCAACCAGAGTTTGCCGCTAAAATTAAAAAACTTTACAAATCCTGTTTGAATAAGCGTAAGTTTTTCGCGAAAAACTATTAGCCTATTTATAAAAATAGGATAAATAATTTGTTCCTTATTTTATAATCATCCGCAATTCTTACGGGTAAGCATTTAATACGAAATTTTACTATCCTAAATATGTTTATTTTTAAAATGTATTCTTGTAAACCGTCTTCCTAGTAATTGTAAGCCGCAAAGCATCCAGTCTCGCTGATGTCTAATCTAATCTAATACAGTCAGTTCAAAATTACTGTATGGTATAAACACTTTACAAATACAAAAGATTTTTTTTTCTGTTTCTTTCCTTTTTAAGTTCTCTTTTTAAAATAAACCCGTGACATTTCATTATAAACGTTTATTCTTCACCTGTACGGTAAAACTGCTTAAACGGATTATCTCCACAAACAATACTTATAAATTACATTGTATTTTATACCGCGCAACAAATAATTTTAAAAACTATGTAAAACTATATAAACAATAAGCGCGACAAAATATATAAATAAAGCGTAAACGTATAAACTAATTGTCATTAAAGATTATCATTTCCGGCCACTCGTTGGCCCAAAAAGTAATCCGTCGGTTTAGATTTAGGTTTGGTCTTTTCTTGAAACTTCTAGCAGAGACCATTCCGGGTGGTGTCTGTAATCGAGGTATAATGCAGTATATGAATATTATTATTATTTATGTTTTCGTATCTATTTTTTGTAGCTTCCGATTCTCATCAAGTATTAACAGAATTACTAAATAGAACAGAACTTAAATCGTGGCCAATATTGGAACATAGCAAAGACTCGCCTACGGTGGAGGAAATTTCTGCAATTATGATTATTTACAATTTACATCCGCTTTTTAATCTTTGTACAAGACCTAATTTTTTACAAGAAATTCGGGTAAATAAGAAATTTTTAAGTATTTTAATTACCCTGGCTTCATTTTCTTTTCTTTGTTTTTAAGTTGGAGAGTTGGAGACATACTTTATTGGAACCTTCGGTTTTCGTTAACGATACAGAAGAATACGTTAAAGATAAAGAAGCTTATACTAGAATAATAATAAATCTTTTATTAAAGTTGAAGATTCCACTAGAAAATGTTTCGGTTATAACGCGAGAAATTCTCGACGTCGACGAAGATTTCGTTAAAGTAAGTATTAAGATTTTTTCTATTCAAAAATAAAAACTCGCAATCTACAATTATATTTTAATTTTCTCCTAACGGTCTTTTAATATCTTAACCCGTACCGTATTAGATGTGGAACAACCATCGACGACATTTTACGCATATTCTATCTTTAATTAATAGTTATATATTTATTAACATCTTTTAATAATTTAATAGAAATTTAAAGTTTCAAAAATTATTATTAGTTTAATTTTTTGAATAGTTTTCTGAAAAATATGAAGATTATAACGCTACGTCTGTCAATTCTACTCTTAAAGAATTAGATTCGTTATGCTTGCAGGTAAATTTTACATACTTAACGTATGAATTGTTGTTGTATACGAAATTTATACGATAGATAGTAATGACTTTATTTTTTAATTCAAGTTGAAATGGACGAAGATCTTGAAATACATTTTAAGTTCGTTTGGTCACGAAGACGAATACGACGAAGAAATGATAATAGTATTGATGAATCCGGATTACATAAAAGATACCTGTGATATGATTAGTAAAATTCAAGTGAGGTAGGATAATATATAAGTTACTGGTCATCTGATTTTTGTTCTCGCTATTCTTTATGTATCTGGTTATAATGGTCAAATTTAGGCATTTTGAAAACTTAGACATTTAACTCAACAACGATTAGAGTTTAGTCAATATCAATCGCATCTCGTCTCGCCTTTGCTGTAAACTTTTTTCTCTCGAGCATAGAATGGTCGGAGTTTTTCTTTCAAGAAAATCTCCAGCATTGAAATGGCAAATGGTTCTGCCAGACGCGAACTAGTCGGTGCCAAATACGGATTGTAAAATGGATGAGGCTGAACCTCCCGGCTCAAACTGGCCAATTTCTCTAAAGTTATCTTTACTTTATGTACTGACGCGTTGTCGTGGCGGTATCGGATTTCGTCAATTTTTGGTCCAAGTTTTTGATCTTGGCTTTCAAACGATCCGGTTGTTTACGGTAGAATTCTTTCGTGTTAGTGATGTTAGTTTGGAGCAGTTCCATCACGATGACGCCGAACAAACGCGGATGACGGCCTTCTTTTTGCACTGTCGCCCATTTGGCATTTACGACAACATCCTTTAACGATTTAAATTAATAAATGCTTTTGAGATCGTGAGCCTTCGTTACGTTGTGGCCACTTTTGAAGCGATAGACGACGGTACTCAAATGTGTTCTTTCGAAAGTTTCGCATTGCTGATACGTCTGTTTCCAATGAAATATGCGATAAAACGCCCTTTGGTTACTCTATTTATACGCACACACCGAACATCCCTGAACATTTTTTCAGTCGTTTCTAGAAAAAAGAAAATCGAAAAGTCTAATTTTACCATTAAAACCTTTACAACCCGATATATAGTGAGTGATTTATCTTGACATTTCATCATACTGAGAGTCCACTATGTTAAAAACTTCGTTAATTTCTTATAATTTTGTTTTAAAAATCTTCCAAGATGGAATTTATTAGATAATAATACTAATTAATTTGTAGATAATACACCATTATCATAGGAATATATAAACGGGATCTAGTAGCAAATATATAGAAATATAGGTCCTATTTCCAGTTATTAAGCGGGGTGATTCCCACTTACGACGATGCAAATTTGATTTAAAAGCTGTTTTAATAATTGGAATCTTGTACAGAATGTACAGAAATTTTATTGGATTGATTGGATCAAAATTCGAGCGATTTGCCAAAAGAGGATGCCGCCTGGGATGACTTTCTATCGTGAAACGAGCCAAGTAATTCCAACGCCATCAGCCTGTGGCACAAACCGGTGATTTTATCTACTAGGCCGCAGATAGACGTGCAGAAATTGCAAATGTATTTTTATAATTTCTATAAAGTGATCTCGAAAATATTTTACAATGCGCAGATTCTGCAATACCCAACGATTAAGACTTCAAAAAGTAGTCTAATTTTGTTTTTTACCGCGAGAAAAAGCCCAAAGAGAAAAGTCAATTTGCCGGTGCTTAGTATTTCCAAGGTACCAAAAAAAAAGTTCTAAGATACCAAAATTATAATTGCTTTGTCTTCAAATTTATTGTTTTTTCACTTATAAATATTGTTGTAAAATATATTGCTTTTATTACTCATACAGTTTGGAACATCAGAAGTATTTATATTTTATGTGTATGTTATGTAAACTATTTAACTGTTAGATTTGTAGTATAAGATTTAACTTTGTATACTTTCATTGTAATTCTTATAAAGTTTTCACGTACATATATTACAGAAAATTTCAAAACTATCTAATTTGGAACTTCATAGCTAATTTTTTAATACATTACGATTCGAATTTTGCCGGGGAATTTATTCAAATGAAACACACTTCGAGAGTGGTCAAATTTACAAGTTTCAAGAGCTGGAAGAGTTGTGTCAAATCCATCATCAATAGCGAAATGCACATCGCGGTTTCTTATCTCTTTATCGAAAGTTTGAAAGCTACAAAATCTGTAGAAGAGGTAATATAATAAATATTCATTAATTTTTAAAAATTCCCTACATTAATATAAGCATTTTCCATTAGATATTGTATTATATAGAAGAAATAGCAAATTCTACCGAACGTATGTTTTCTACCGAAACTTGGTTAGAAGACGAAGATAAATATATTGGAAAACGTAAGGTGTGTTTGCTGAATATATTCATTTATATGGAATATTAAACGTAAATAAATCGTAATTCTTAACTGTCTCGACTATCCGGCCATCCGCAAGTAAAGGCCTCGGCTCGCGGCACTGTAGGACCTAGCGTGATTGGTTTATGTATTAAGACGTCATACACGATCTCGCGACGTCGAAAACACTTTCTGCAACATGCAACAACAATAGTTGCGGCTAGAAAGAGCTTCTTTAGATTTAATCTGACTTAAAAACTGTAGAATGTATTTACGAGATTGGTGACCACGACATCTACGGTTTGTAAACCACGAATTAAAAAAACATTTTATATGTTGAGTAAAATAATTCGTAATTTAAATGATAATAATGATAATTGTCTGAATCGCACTTTCCGTGTATTTACAAATGTAGATAATGAAAATGGAATGGGACGTGGGTTACGACGATATATATAAAAATGCCGAAACCATCGATTTATACTTCAAAAACGTAAGAGATTTTATACACGTATTAAATATTAAATTTTAAAATAAAAATTAATACATGTTTAATGTATTTGCAGATAAACTTCAGCGATAGTTACATAGAAAATATTTTATTTCTAGAAAAATTATCCTTCGCTAGAAATTTCTTCAACGAATCTGTTTGGAATAATATATTAAAGTAAATTTTCAATTTATTAATTTAATTAAATTTCAAGTTATATTTTAATGCGATTTTAACTGTAATTGCGGCATTCCGTTTCAATTCAAGTTTTATTGAATTATTTAAAGCGAAATAGGAACTAAGCCCGTTACCGTCAATGCTTTCTACAACGGAAGAGTCGGTGAGTTAAACTTCATTTTTCTCATTTATTATTATTATTTTATTTAAATTTCATAGTTTAATTAACGTTTAAATTTCAGTTTTACCTTTAGCTATATTGCAAGCACCCATTTTTATTCCGGAAGCACCAAAGTAATTAACACTTAAAAGAGTAGAATTAATTATAATTGTAAATTAATTGAATTTTTCCTTATTAGGTATTTAAATTTTGGAAGTATCGGCGTTATCATCGGACACGAAATATCGCACGAATTCGATAATTTAGGTAAATTTCGATCGAATTTTTTAACCTTTGTGAAATCTTATTTCGTTAAATTACTTTTCCACGTTCAGATTTACACTTACAGTCGCAAGATAACTCGTCTAAATCCAATTTGTGGTCAAAAAGTGCTCTTAGAAAATTTCAAGACAGAGCTTTGTGTATTATAAACCAATACTCGGAATTTCCATTAGACGACGATAACGGGATTATGGTGAGTGATATTAAATTTATAATATCCCCGGTGCTTATAACGTTTATTCGTATGTAATGAACACAACTAACCGATAATCAAATAGCTGGATTTTTCATCGGGCTGTTAATGCCAAATAATTACTGAGCAATTTGACAGAAGGCGGGCCGTTAGACTAACTTTTCTTGTTAGATATAACAATTAAAAGTAATTTTTATGATTTACTTATATTTCACAAGAAATGGCAGTCCTTCTGTCAAATTGCTTAGTAATTATTTAGCATTAATAGTCTAATACAAGAATTCGGCCGTTCGTTTGACGACATTTATTCAATAATTTAGGTGAGTGGAAACAAGACGATTCGAGAGAACATTGCCGATATTAGCGGTATCAACTTAGCATTTTCGGTAAGATTTTACTAAGAAATTTCGTGTTTTTCCTTAGATTTTACATCTTATTTTCTCTCGTTAGGCGTACGAAAGTTATTTAAAGAAACACGGAGAAGAGCCAAAATTATTAGGTCTGGATTTCAATAATAAACAGATGTTCTTTTTAAGATATGCTCAGGTAAGTTTAATCCAAACGAAAACATTCTCCATCGTTTATATTTCAGCAACCCTTTTATAAGAAAACCTGAAACTTTTCACACTATCTAAGTAAACAAATAACTTTCGAACGAGCTATTCGGAATTATTATAGGTGTTTTGTGGGGCAGAAAAATTAACTCCCGAAAATCGGCAACTCTGATTCCTGTATATATATACAGTAGAGCGTCGATTTTCCGAATCAATTCGGGACTGGGGTTGTCCGGATAACTGATATTTCGGATAACTGATTTACGTACGAAAAAATAGTTTAACGTATCCGATGTCGAAATTTTTATCCGTTGCGTGTCGCTTCGCGTTGAATTTTCGTCGATGCCTAACGAAGACTAGCCTAACGATTAGCCTAACGAAGACTATTGTATCGTTAAAAATTATTTTTTATTTTGTACAAACAAAATAAATATATTGAAAAATATAAAAATAATAAAAAAATTATACTTCAGATGCTAATTTAGTATCAAAAACGTAAAATATTTGAGTAGCCCAAGACATAGCCAAAGATTGAAGCGTCACAGCACGGGCGAAAATTTAAATTTGCCGACTGGAATTCTTTCGGATGATTGACTTTCGGAAAATCGACGCTCTACTGTATATAGTCGGTCATTGACTTTTATTTGGCGTTGAGTATCGACATTAAAAATTTAAAAGATAGTTAAATTGATATAGATATAAAAGATAAAGTTGTAAATCAGCAAATTAGAGATAATTACGTTAAAAAGTGGAGATGCGATCGAAATTTTTGTTAAAATAATTTTATCTATAAGTGATTTGGTTTGATTCAATTTCGAGTAGAAATCTCTTAAATATTAAGGAAAGAAAGGCTAGAGCGGCTTTTTTAAATTATTGCACATTTAACAATTTTCATTTTATGATTCATTTAAATAATAAATCACGGCTTTACTATATAATTAAGAAATCAAAAGCTGGAAACTGCTCTTTTTCAAATAAGAATGACAGTTATTACATAACTGTACGTCACTCCGTACAATCACATCCAATCAAAGGTTCTTGTAAATTATCAAACAGAAGAAGAAATTGTTGTAGTATTTTAAGTATTCTTAATATAATTGCGAGAACATTAATTTAATAATTAACTTGAAATATGTGGATTACATACATACGTAAAGTTTGCCATAAATAAACTATAATTAGCGTACAGTTTGTTTTTGTCCAGTTATTTCAATAATCCTAGTTCCTAGTATTTCTTACAGGTGGAATAACGATATTGTTATTGTATAATAACATTATTACAGCAGTTTACAGTTGTTATTTTGTAATTAATTTCAGTGGTACCTCAGGTTACGAACGCCCCAGCATACGAAATTTTCAGGATACGACATGAAATTCGAACATATTTTTGCTCCACGATACGAACAAAAGAGTGATTTGTCATCTCCCTGGATCATCTTGCTTTTAGACATAGCAGAGGATGATTTCCTAGAATGCCCTCCTACTCATCCAGCTGACATTCAATGGCTCTCCACCTTCGAAAATCATCTACACATCTTTGTGACGTGTCAGATTTCATGCATCACTAAACTGAACTTAGGGTTGCATCATCACCACTTATGCCTGGTATCATGACTTTTTAACCCATTGGAAATTTGCACTTTTTGGGCCATGACATGCATTTGCAGGTGCACTTTTATCTTCTGCATTGTTAANTTTTATTTAAATTTCATAGTTTAATTAACGTTTAAATTTCAGTTTTACCTTTAGCTATATTGCAAGCACCCATTTTTATTCCGGAAGCACCAAAGTAATTAACACTTAAAAGAGTAGAATTAATTATAATTGTAAATTAATTGAATTTTTCCTTATTAGGTATTTAAATTTTGGAAGTATCGGCGTTATCATCGGACACGAAATATCGCACGAATTCGATAATTTAGGTAAATTTCGATCGAATTTTTTAACCTTTGTGAAATCTTATTTCGTTAAATTACTTTTCCACGTTCAGATTTACACTTACAGTCGCAAGATAACTCGTCTAAATCCAATTTGTGGTCAAAAAGTGCTCTTAGAAAATTTCAAGACAGAGCTTTGTGTATTATAAACCAATACTCGGAATTTCCATTAGACGACGATAACGGGATTATGGTGAGTGATATTAAATTTATAATATCCCCGGTGCTTATAACGTTTATTCGTATGTAATGAACACAACTAACCGATAATCAAATAGCTGGATTTTTCATCGGGCTGTTAATGCCAAATAATTACTGAGCAATTTGACAGAAGGCGGGCCGTTAGACTAACTTTTCTTGTTAGATATAACAATTAAAAGTAATTTTTATGATTTACTTATATTTCACAAGAAATGGCAGTCCTTCTGTCAAATTGCTTAGTAATTATTTAGTATTAATAGTCTAATACAAGAATTCGGCCGTTCGTTTGACGACATTTATTCAATAATTTAGGTGAGTGGAAACAAGACGATTCGAGAGAACATTGCCGATATTAGCGGTATCAACTTAGCATTTTCGGTAAGATTTTACTAAGAAATTTCGTGTTTTTCCTTAGATTTTACATCTTATTTTCTCTCGTTAGGCGTACGAAAGTTATTTAAAGAAACACGGAGAAGAGCCAAAATTATTAGGTCTGGATTTCAATAATAAACAGATGTTCTTTTTAAGATATGCTCAGGTAAGTTTAATCCAAACGAAAACATTCTCCATCGTTTATATTTCAGCAACCCTTTTATAAGAAAACCTGAAACTTTTCACACTATCTAAGTAAACAAATAACTTTCGAACGAGCTATTCGGAATTATTATAGGTGTTTTGTGGGGCAGAAAAATTAACTCCCGAAAATCGGCAACTCTGATTCCTGTATATATATACAGTAGAGCGTCGATTTTCCGAATCAATTCGGGACTGGGGTTGTCCGGATAACTGATATTTCGGATAACTGATTTACGTACGAAAAAATAGTTTAACGTATCCGATGTCGAAATTTTTATCCGTTGCGTGTCGCTTCGCGTTGAATTTTCGTCGATGCCTAACGAAGACTAGCCTAACGATTAGCCTAACGAAGACTATTGTATCGTTAAAAATTATTTTTTATTTTGTACAAACAAAATAAATATATTGAAAAATATAAAAATAATAAAAAAATTATACTTCAGATGCTAATTTAGTATCAAAAACGTAAAATATTTGAGTAGCCCAAGACATAGCCAAAGATTGAAGCGC